ACCATATTAGTGACATTAATAGCTAACATGCAATCAAAGGTCTTTGAAAAACAAATAACATTATCATTTGCCAAGGCTTTTGGCTTAAAGAGCGATGAGGAACATCTCTCTGAAGTCTGAGAGCAGGGAATTTCCAGCATATCTTTCAATCTTTTATATTAAATCTTTTTTAAACTAAGGTTTAGCTAACAGCTATATGGTTGGCTAGGACAGACTGCTTCCAAACATGAGGGAACAGATGGCAGGGACTTTTCTATTTAGTCACAGGTCTACCTTAGGGCAAGGATGTTATTCCATTATTGTTATCTAATCATTCATTTCTGAGTGCAGAAAAGTACATTCCCAATATCAATTACATGCTAAAAAACAAATCGCATCTCCTTAGCAAAATAACATACAGCTCTAATAGTGAACCCGCAAATGAGATGCAACTGTGCTATGCTAGCAGTATAGCAAAATATCAGATTGTGTTCATCATCTAGGAATAAAATAATTAGCCATGTATTGTGTTTCTTCCCAGGATTTATGATCCTGTTAAAATATATACACTTTTCCTTCACTAAATAAAAATATGAGATGAATATTTCACTTTATATTAATCAATTAGAACCTCATTCAGAAAATCCAAAATAAAATGGCACCTTCAATCTGTGAATGTTTTGTGAAAGAAAGAACTGCTGGTTTAGGTCTCACTAGGACTGCTTCTGTCTCCCCTATGCAGTGTTACGGCAGAATGTTTTTGCATGCTCCTCCTTTGAATAGCAAACGAACTTGAAAGGCAAAGGTGATAAAACTAAACCATCTTTAGAATCACATTTTTTTTTTTTTACTATTTCAGTTTTAAAAATACTACTGTATTCTTTAAGGAGGATTGACATTTTAACATTACTTCCCATTTCATCTGTTATTGTCAAATAGGTAAATGTGGCTATTTTAACGTCTTGGAATATTCTTTGTCTCTATATTCTTTGTCTCTTCCCACTGCATTTTCTATGTTAAGAAGAAAGCTAACTATGTCTTTTTGGTTTTGTTTGTTATTGTTGTATGTTATCTACACTTAAAAAAAAAAAGCTTTTTATTGGAAAAATGCCAGTTTGTCAAAATTAGACATTTCCCCAGGAAATAGTCTGCTTTGGTGATTTTTTTCCAACTTAAAAATTTATTGAGAGAGGTTTCAAAATAACTGGAATCTTTTGCTACTTTTGAAGTGAAGTATTGTGGTTTTCCCATTTAAGATATGTGAATCTGCACTAAAAATATTTTAATATTAGACATGGATAAAAGAAAGACTGAACTTAAATGAACTTCCCATATGATTTTTCAATATACGATCTCATTATTTTTCATGGAACAAGCAAACCGTGCTCCAGTTTAATTTAGGAACTGATGGGAGGGATTGTTAAAAGTGACTACGGCTATGTCTATATGATAAATTTACCGTGTCCAGAGAGGTGCCCTCAAACATGCCATACCACTACTGGGCAGCCTCCAATGTTGTGGGATAATTAGCACAAAGGCAGGCTAATTGACACTGTTACTCAACATGAGAATGTGACTACAGTGCTCCTGGTTAGGAGGTAGCCCATAGTGAGCAGCACAGTATATTTGAGGGCACAAGACTAGGCAGCGCACATTTACTTTGTAGACATGGTTTAAATAAATTGGGTATATAAACTCCCATATCTGTTTGACTGAAGAGAGATGCCACACTCACTTAGACACTTGAAGATTTCAGCTTCTTGAAAATCTTAGTCTTATTGAGGCAGGCTTTTCTTTCTATTGTTCCTTCAATGTATGATCCCACATCTTATAGCCAAATTACATGTTATTGATCCCAGTAAGTGCGCTGCATTGCTCTTCATACTATTAAACTTCATTCCATTATTAATGCTTCACTCCACGGGGTTATGTACATTTTCCTGTATAATAATCTAGGCCTCCTCCATCTTGTTACTACTTCATTTTGGCATCTTCAAATTTCATAAGCATCCATCCAGTTCCTACACCAAGGTTGCTAATGAAAATGAAACAGATGGGCCCCCAGACTGATCCTTAAGGAACACCTCTAGTCTCCAGTCTGATAACTCCTGTGAGAACTTCAGTTAATAACTTCAGTATAACATTTAAATGTGACAGGTTGGTGCATGCCACATTGCTAAACCTGGCTCAGAGCAAATGCAAGCACAATAGTGATGAGAACATCTCGCTGCTAGAGCTGATGACATTTTTTAAACTTTGAAATGTCAAATATGTGTTTCCATATTTTAATGTTCATGAAAAAGGGGAGAAATATTTAATTTTAAGAATTTTTAATCTGTATATGTTTAGCTGAAAATTTTCAGGTTTTAAAATTTCAGCAATAATAAAAACAGGAGGAACCGAAAAATGTTTCTGTTTTTTTCTTCCCATTTTCTGAGATTTCTCTGCTGTGTGCCACTGCAAGCTTTCATGTATGTAAACACAAGGTACTATGAGCACCTTGTTCGTAATGCCAAAAACCTCACTGAACAGTACATTATCCTTTCCTATTCACCCAGTTCTGTGTCATTAAAGAACTGGATGAATGGGAAAGGATCATATTTCCAGAGGACAAAAAAGATACAAAACAAGTAACACAATTTATTTCAAATGAGAGGAAAAAACAGGTGTTGTTTATGCGAGTATTACTCCTAGATGAAAGTTTAACAAATGGAAATAAGTGACTCCACTGACCAAACCTTCAGCTTTCTTGTTTTGTCTATGCATGGCCTTTGTGCTCACCAAAAGTCAGAAAGAAAACAGAAAACAGAGAGCATTCAGTACTCCCATACACTGAGATAGCAACAATCAGAGAATAACCCAACCTTCCTGGAACAGGCAAAAACTGGTTTTCCACTGCGGAAGGAGGAAGAATAGCTCCCCGCTCCTACCTTTTGGCCTTAGACAGAGACCAAACATGAACAAACCGAAGGAAAAGGTCATCTTTAAATATGTCAACATAAAGAGAAAAGGAAACAATGACATCCCATTAAATAATGAGATCTTCCATTGTGTTAAGAAATGAATCTCTCTGGTTTATTGGTGTTTTTGACTTGGTCTTTTGTTTGTTGGTAGAGGGGGATATTTTTGTGACGTTTCCTGAAGATGGGGATCTTTTGCCCATTGGTGTGATACTCCTTCAAACCAGCAGAGATACTTCTTCCTGTTTCCATCAGGCTGGGTATAGACATTTGGTGAGGTTAGATTGCATTAAAAATGGCCACCCAATTTAACTTAGTTTACTCAGGTGCGATCTTACACTAGTTAAATTGATCTAAGGGTGAACTGTACAGAAGTTCAGGACTGTTAGATTGATTTAAAAATGGCCAACTTGATCTAAGTTAACCCTACCATTGAGGTACATCTAACTGAGGTTGGGTCGGCCATTTTTAATATGATCCAAATGTCCTGAATTTCTCTACAGTTCCTAACACAGCCCCAAGGCTGGGAAAGCCCAGCCACTGGCCCCAGCCCCAGGGCTGCACTTTTCCTACCTTTTCCTTGGCACCAGGCTATTTTGGGGCCTTTGGCCCTTCCCCTGACCCCCAGGCAGACAAGATACCCTCCACCTGGATCAGTCAGCACCCCCCACCCACCGGCTGAACCTGCCAGACCCCCCATCCTGCAAGCCATTCCTGGTGCCAGTTTTGCTGGCATTCGCCAGTGCTGGGAGCTGAGGAGGTAAATCAAAATGGAGGGAGGGGAAGGCTAGATGGGGTGGGTTGGTTTGCTAGGGGTTGGGAGTTGTTCATCTGGGGTTCAGGGAGGATCAGGAGGCTAAAAATAGCCCATGGTCCTGAGCGGTGAGGGAGAGAGCCCCCCATCCTCTCCAGCCTCCCTGCAGACCCTGCAAGACCCCCAATCCTGCCAAACCTGCCCAGACCCCCATAACCCTCCAAGGATGCTAGTGACCCTTGTAATCCCCCCTGTTGATCCTATTAACACCACCACAATCCTCCAATCTCCTCTGCAGACCCTGTTAGCCTCTCAAATCCTCCAACTTCCCTGCTAGCCTCCCATCACAAGTTATTGCAGTTCAGGTGGCCATTTTTAACTCAATCTAACCTCCTCAAATTTCTTATGTACCCCTAGTTCTTCAGGAAAATCATTGCACCCCTGATCTGTCAAACTGTCCCCTCCCCCAGCACACACTTTTTCCATTTATACCAGTCCCAGATTCCACAATCCAAAGCAATAGGTACACAAATACCTATCTGGTCAATCTCTGAATAGTGTTTGCTTACCCAGTTGTCACCTGAATGCAATGAAACACACAAATATCTGCTTCTGTGATAACAAGCCATTAATTTACTCTTTGTGTACTATGTACCTACCACCCTGAAGAACTTTGGGCAGGAATTTGGCCCTTCTCTACACAAATTACCAGTAAATATTTATCAAACAATTATTTATGCCAGGTCATCTGGATATTTTGCTAATAAAGTAATTTCTTGTGACTGCAGAAAAGATTTCCTGGAGTAAAAGTCTTCCATGAATATTAAAGCATCTCCATCTTTTAAAGGTATGTTTAAAAAAATCCCATCCATTTCTTAGAATTAAATGATCAGCTATCCAAAAAGGAAAAAAATAAATAAAACCACTTCAGTACCATAATCTTAGTCAGGAATGATTTTTAATTCCTGCAATCAATATCTTTCCCTTTCTTGCACATGAGTATGGTTTTTTCTCTCCTTCAAGCATTTGATCTTGCCTCCTGTCAGTCAAGTACTGCATTCTCAAATGTTCATTCATAAATCTGAGTTTTTCTTTACAGTACTGCAGTTTCAGGGTGTGTCAGTTCACATCTTTGATCACAACCTCCAGCCTGCTCTGTGGTTTTTTCCAAGCAACACAAAGACATCACCATCACTTTGCTCCAAAATATGTCATGACGATGCAAACTACAGCAAAGGTCACTTGCCTGGGTTTCAGGTCTACAGTCAGAAAACCCAAATGCATGGCTGTCCTCTGACCCACTTCTTTCTTCCCTATGTTCTATTTTAATCCATTTCCCCCACCCCCAAGCCAGTCAGTTGCTTATCCAAATGTCTCTCACCACTTCCTCTTTAAACTGCCTGGGCCAGGGACTGCTGACCTGAGAGCAGAACTTCATTCACGGCTCTTTGTCTGAAACTCTGTTTCATCTCCAGCTAAAAGGTCTTGTCTTAAAGTGCCTGTCATTAGTTCCACTTACACCCACATCACAGACAGTCTGTTCCTTAGGAGTCAACTTCACCGGCTGTTCTTTTCTTCCCTCTTTCCCCATGCAGTACTATTTGCCTCCCTCTTCTTCATGTAGTTATCTTCACACCTGTTAGGGAAATGCAGGAATAATATCCCCATTACAAAGGGAATGGAGCAACAGAGGGAAACAAAACCAAAATCCGCTAAAGGTGGATCTACTAATTCAACTAAATCCACTGATTTAGCAGCAGGAGAGAGGGGCCTAAATTCATTTGTGGATCTTGCCCAAAATGATTGGCCCAAGATTACCCAAAAGCCAGGATTGAAAATAATCCCTGCAAAACCCTAGGTGAGAACCCTAACTGTTAAGCCATACTTCTACCTTCTCTTCACCTCCAAAAGTTACATAGCCACGGGGCTGATCAGAAAGCACATTTAGGAATTCCTAGTCAAGAGAGTCCCACAGATCTGAACTGGAACCCAAACCAACCAGGGCCCCAAGTCAGCACAGTTCATCATGGCATACTGGAGTGGGGAGGAAGGGGAGTGCCTTTAAATATGCCCTCTGCAAAATATCTGGCATGTATATATATATATATATATTTTTTTTTACTGGGGATGATTCTCTCTCCAGTGCCTCTTTTAGCTGCTTTTGCTCCTCCACAGCTGTGCCCAGCCTCCTTACTTCTGCTTGGAGAACATGATTTTACTTTTCAATCTCATGCAGTTCACACAGGCCTAGCTCTGTCTAGCCATCACTTCACTCTGATATATACTTCTTTTCCCACTCTCACAACCTCTGGTAGTTCAGAATTTGAAAACATAATCATTGTGAAATGTTATATTTCAAGTTATTAAGGAAAAAATGAAAGCACATCGTTCCCTCCCACCCAGCACTCTGCTTATTGTATCTCTCCAATTCCATATTTTGCTGTGAACTGATTTGGTTTCATAGCTTAGAATGAACAAGCTATACTGGCTTTATATAGCTTAGGATGAACAAGCTATACTGGCTTTATATAGGTACTTGAGCCCTCATGAATCAGAAACATTTTGTGGCTAATCTTTTCCTCCAATGCTACATAGCTTACTCATATAAAGTACTGTCTATTGAACAATTTGTGAAGCAAGGTTATATAACATTTGCCATCAGCTTGCATCCCAGCCTGCAGTTAATTTGAACAAGACTGTGACAGAAAAAAAATGCTTTTGGCTGCCTGGGAAGCGAGACATTCTCCTACTTGTTGTTTTTACTGCCTGGGTGGAGACAAGATACAGTCAGCTGTAAAATTAAAGATAAGGATATGGCTTTCTGGCATTGCTGTCTTTCAAAGCATCTTTGCTTCTTCTGGCATCAGTCGGGAATGGAGAGGTGTTTTTCCGGGAGGTTATTTAAAGAATGCTAGTTTCATAACTACAGTAAGTATATAGTGAATCCGAGTGATTGCCAACCAAGCCCGTGCATCTTGATTAGTTTACATGAGTATCTCTTTTCTGCATAACTGTATCCTCACTGCTTTTACACTCACCCACAGATTGCATGCATCTGGGGGCATTCCCAGGTTTCTTTGTGTCAAGATGCTCTGGGTTTGTTTTCATAATTTAATTACAGGAGATCTTGTCAGTCCTGCAAGAGGAACTGTGGGAAATATTGGAGGTATCAGCACTCAGGTGATTTATCTCCCTGCAATCTGGGCATGCTCCAACCCAAGTTTAAAAAAGTGCCAAGGTTTCTTTGTTATTATAGAGATGTAAGGCAGGAAAGAACTTCAAGAGGTTACCTAGTCCAACAGAGGATCAAAGCTGCAACTTTGATGTTAATAGCACCACGCTCTGACAAACTGAGCTAACCACCAACACCCTAATCAGGTAAGCTAAAAATACGTACAAACCAGGGTCAGAAATTTGTATGAAGATAGCAAAAAGGCAGAGTTGCCTAGGTAGGCAACTCTTACCTAGGGCTAAAACCCAGGTAAGAGTTGGAGTTAAATGTTGAGTGAAGACCCACTCAATTGGCTGTCAAAAGTACTTTTCCTTGAAAAGCCAGAAAACAAATTGGCATTTTTCCAATAAAATATTTACATTATATCTCTTTTCTGAAACTGTGTTGCAGGCTCCTACATCACTTGGCTGCTTTAAAAAATTGTATCCATGATCCTCTGCCTATCATCACAGCCCTCTCAACTGATACAGAGAATTCTAAATGTATACGTTTTAGTACTTTTTAAAAGTAAATTGTAGGAGACTCCAATAAGCTTCAGAAGATAATCACAATAAATCTCCCTCCCTCAATGTCCTTTCTTGTTACTTCAGCGCACATTTAATCAGGAGCTTTCAGATGCATTACTGATATAAGAGCTTATAATGGAGAAGTCCACTAAAATTGAATCATTGACTACTTTTAAAGTGTAGATAACAAACATAAAATTGAATCACTGACCATTTATTCTTACCTACATGTTTACCTCCTCTATTTTTCCTGTGATCTCTCAGCATAATCTTGTGTGTAGAGGAGACTGCAGCAGCCTGCTTGTCCCCTTCATTATCTTT